GCACCGAGAGAAATCCGTGACCACCGGGTCGCGCTGCTGTCTGTTTCAGATTACTTTGTTCGCTGCATTGTGTTATTCGTGTGGTCGAATGTTATGTCCAATATCCTACTGAGTTAAGCACCCACACTACACGACACAGGACAGGAGAGGAGAGGAGAGGAGAGGAGAGAGAGAGAGAGAGGAGAGGAGAACAGAGGAGAACAGAGGATATGAAAGTACAATAGAGAGGAGGAAGAGTATTGGGAGTAAGTTGCGGGATGAGGTTGGTTTGGGTGGCTAGGCACATCTGGGGAAAATTATGACAAATGGCATACAAAATGGGACATTCAGATGCGGTAGGGATATCCCAGGATGTCAAGAGAGGACTTGATGAAGAAAGGATTCAAAGATCTTATCTGAGAAGTGGATTGTGGTTTTTACCAGCTTCCCTTCAGAGTTCAATATCCTCCCCTCCCCCTTCCTCATGAGCAAATTGACATGACACCATCCTGTATCCACGTGTCACTCGACATTCATTCTGTTCAATCCCATGTCTGACGCTTTTGCACAGCATGAACATGTCGTCTCCTGCATCACGATCCACTGCGACGCAGCAACACGAGCAGGTCTTGACTCCTCGTCCTGATCGTCCCATTCACCACACCACAGTCCCCCATCAGGGCGGCTGCGCAGCTCTCCCTGTGGAAGAACATCTTGTACTCTGCGGCAGGAGGCGTGGCAGGTCCTCTTGTGTGTTAGAGGGGGGATGGGGGTTGTTGAGCCGTGGGACGCAGGAGCGACCGCCGTGTACCCGCTGGATCTTGCTAAGACGCAGCTCCAGATGGATCACACGGGAAAGTTCAAGGGGCTCGGGGACTGCTTCATGACCATCTTCAAGGAGGGAGGAGTCGGTGGCCTCTACCGTGGTCTCCCTGCCAACGTGATCGGCATCATGCCGGAGAAGACGATCAAGTTGGCCGGCAACGACTTCTTCCGCAACCTGTTTAAGGTCTGCCGCTTCCGCTCTCCCCCAGCCGCTCACTGCGTGCACAGGTGGATGACCCTACTGTGTATCCCAAGGGAAACATCATGCTGGAGGGAGCTGCTGGAGGCCTCGCGGGAGCTTGTCAGATCGTCGTCACTACCCCCATGGAGATCACCAAGATCCGCATGCAGATGTACAAGCCCGCCCCGGGCGAGACGGTGAACCAGATGGCGATCCTCTCCAAGATGGTGCGCGAGATGGGAATCACGTGCGTTGCCTGCTGCGTCTCGTCCGCGTCTGACGCTCCAGCCCTGCAGTGGGATGTACAAGGGAACTTTCTCGACCTTCATGAGAGACTGCCCCTTCTCCATCGTCTACTTTTCCCTCTACGGCATCTTCAGAAGAAAGCTCGTTGATGACAAGGGCGCAATCAGCAGTACGCAATCAGCATTGGGGTTCTTCTCTCCTCACCTGCTCCTGCAGGCTCAGGAGCTCTTATCGCCAGTACCTGCGCTGGTGTCGTCGCTGCAAGCGGGTCGACTCCCCTGGATGTATGCTGTGCTCCAGCCTCCTCCTCCTGTGACTCGCCCTCTTCAGGTGATCAAGACTCGCCTTCAAGCTGCTCCTGCTCCCGGCGTCGAGCCGTACAAGGGCTGGCTCCCAACGGTGTGTGAGGAGAGGAGGGAGGAGGAGGAGGAGCTGATGGGTTCACAGGTGGCAAGGATCGCTCGGGAGGAGGGCGCGATGGCTCTTTTGAAGGGTGTTGGACCGCGTACCATCATCATCAGCCCTCTCTTCGGCATTGCGCTCATGGTCAAGGAGACGCTGGCTCGCATCTGGCCTTGAGCGCAGTGAGAGGAAAGGAGGACCGGGGAGGACGGAGATGGTGTGAGTTGGGGAGACGCGAGGCCGACACGTGTCTGCTAGCATTTACACTTGATATGTACATGAAGAGCACGTGGCTCATGCGACATGCGCGTCTGCTGTTCGAGGAGAGAGTGGTGCGAAGGGGCTGAGGAAAGTCAAAGGAAGTACCAAAACACGGACAGCACCTGCTGCTCTGCTCCGTCCCCTCCACCTCCTTGAGAGGCTGCAGCTCGACCGCGTCCCTGACAGGCGTCAGACGCCGATCAGCTCAAACTTTCCTTCCTCTCACCGGCCGAGGTCTCCCATGGACAAGCCGTCTGTCCTAACGATGCCGAGAGGAAGGCTGAAGGGAGCAAAAGATAAGAAAAGGTGGTGGGGGAGAAAATTCAGAGACAGAGACAGAGCGATGGCAGGCGAGCAAGAGGAGGTGAAGAGAAATCGGAGACACGAGAAGTAGAACTTACAGCCAGTATGCCGGATTGTCTCCCATGACAGACTGCGTGTTTCTATACCATCCCACGTCGTACTTGTGCGTTACCTTCACCTGTTGCCTGTCAGTGGAAACCTTGTGCCTACCACCGCAATGCCTTCTTCTTGCTGTTGCGATTCTTAGAGGCAATGGAGTCAAGTTCGTAGTTCTCTGTCGCCGTCCTGCTCTGCCCTCAGAAAAGAGCAGGGGCAGGGGCAGGGGCAGGGGCAAGTGCAGGGGCAAGTGCAGGGGCAGGGGCAGCAGTAAGCGGACGAGGACGAGGAAGAGGAAGAGGAGCTGGAGCTGGAGCTGGAGCAGCAGGTACTGACTGATTCTTCAGGATCAAAAATCCATTCCAGATGCACCTGCGGAGGAGGATCAAAAAACCACACAGAGATCAGCACAAGGAGAAGTGAGGGTCCACTCACAGTCCTCCTTGCTGCCCACAGGCGTCAGAAAAGCCTCACAGGGGAACGACAAGTACCATCATGGAGAGGACGAGGACAAGGATGAGCATTCCTAGGACGACTCCCATCCACGTGCCGAGCTGCTGGAGCATCAACTGGAGGAGGGTCAGGTGGGAGAGAGGGGAGGAGGAAGGCAGTGACGTGTTGCTCCAGCACGTGCGCAAGAAATATAAAAGTCATGATCTGTTGAACAGTCAGAAGGAGGGACGTGTGAGCAAGGGACCGCTGAGAGGTAGAGAGGAGAACTGGATCGCCAGGATCGTAGGAAGAGGACGATAAGGTAAGGAGGAGGAGGGGAACAAGGAGGAAGGAGGAGGAGACAGAGAGGAGGGGAGAGAAGAAGGGGGAAAGAGGTACCGAGTAGTACAACGAAGTGATAGTTCCGTAGAAGAGAAACCTGGCGGCCGAATCAAATTTCTTCAACTCCCTATCTCCTCTAACACCCGCACCCCTCCAATCCTCCACTCCCAGCGATCTCCCTCCTCTCACAGGAAGAAAACTTGTGATTCGCTGCCCCAACGCAATTTTGAACCCACGGGCCTGCGATAGGAGGTGAGATGGAGGAAGGGAGGGGAGAGGAGGACGGAGAATCGAGTCCCTCACAATGATGATCCATCCGGAGCACACACTTGCCGCATTGCCGACAGTGAGCAGACCTGCTCGTCCCTCAGAGATCCGAGAAGGAGCAGGGGAAGGGAAGAGGATGGGGATGAAGGGGAAGGGAAGAGGAAGGGGAGGAGCAGCCGTGAACCTGGGTGGACGTTGGATTTTGCATCTCTTGCAGAATTGACTCTGCGAGGATTTGACGCCCTAAGGGAAACAATCACGAGGAGGAGGAGGAGGAGGAGGAGGAGGAGGTTTTACCCCTTCCTCCTCAAGCTCGCTTGCGATCTCCTTCCTGTTACAGCATCACTCTCCCGCCTTCACCTCTCCACGTCCTCGCTCACGGAGGACTCCAATCTCTCGTCACCGTCCCAGGATCACTGAGCCACCTGCGGGTCTGACTGAGGGCGAGGGGGTCGAGGAGGAGAGATAGATCAACGTCTTGAGGTAGGAGGCGACCATGAGCGTGATCAGGACGCCGAACAGCATGGCGTGCAGCATCCCGGAGACGCTGCTGTAAGAATACTTGATCGGGATGATGGTGCCCTGCCGCTGCCGTCATGACCGAGGAGAAGGAAATGGGAAAGGAGTCAATGGGGGAAGGGAGGTAAAGGGGGAAAGATGTAGAATGGAAGGAGGAAGGGGGAAGGGGGAAAGGCGGGAAGATATGAAGGAAGGCAGCACAAGTTGGCAACGGAGAGGAGGGGCGGAGGGAAGGTCAAGGACAGGAAGAATGGTTTTACGTAGATGCAGATGGTACATGTGACGAGGATGGTGGTAAGAAAGACTTGCAGACAAACGCCAACTGCGAGCAAATCAGGAGGAGGATGGGAGGGAGCGGAGAGGACCGCAGAAGTCGCCGTCTTCCTCACTCATCCCAGCAGTCACAACCTGATGCTCAGGGGTCAGAAGAAGAGTTTGAGGTATAGATCCTGAGAGAGCCCCCTCTTGACGAGCAAGAGCAGCATACCCAGAGATGTTCGATTTCAACCCTCCTTCCGCATTACTGCCGTGACCAGAGCACAATCTCCCCCATTCCGATTCGAGTTATCCTCCCCTTCCTCTCACTCTCCTTATGTCAATCCTCCACTCCCTTCCTTGTCCCTCCTTTCCTTGACCTCTCCTTCTGCGTGTGTCTGTCTTTCTCCTCCCTTCCACTCGGAACCTCTCTCCGTCCATTGTCTCCAGGACACTCTTCTCCCCCCCTTTCCCTTCATCTCATCCTGCTCCTTTCCGTCATCATCATCATCATCATCATCATCATCATCATCATCATCATCCTCTTCTTCTTCTTCTTCTTCTTCTTCTTCTTATCCTTCTTCTTATCCTTCTTCTTATCCTTATCCTTATCCTTATCCTTCTTCTTCTTCTTCTTCTTCTTCTTATCCTTCTTATCCTTCTTCTTCTTCTTCTTCTTATCCTTCTTCTTCTTGTTATTCTTATTCTCCTTTTCTCCTCCTCCTTCACCACCACTTCCTCTCGCGCAGACGTAAGGAACCGTGCCATTCTGCCGAAAATGCGCCATAAGCATTCCTATCTTGATGTCACGGTGTGGCTCGTAATTCGATTTCCGCTCCACACTGCTCCACAAGTGATGAGGGGGGCTCGCAGACACGTCTGGTCATGCCGGACCGGGGGGAGCGGTCGCAAGAGATGGAGGAGGAGGAGGCGGACAAGATGACAGTTCAGGTTCTCCTGCTCTACCACCAGACACCTCTTCCTGCTCTACCACCAGACACCTCTTCCTGCTCTACCACCAGACACATCTTGTCTCTCCTGCCTTGCTCGGCTATAATTCGCCATGCCTCGAATTCACATCGCCTTCCCCGCTCCTTCCCCTTTCCTTGTGACCTTGCTATAGCCATCCCCTGCTTTCGTTTCCTGTGTTTTCCTTCCTTCGACTCTTACTGCCTCGTCTGTCTTTCCACCGAATAACGTCTTGTTACTTGTCCTGTGAAACAATTTATATCCTCTGCGTCACCATGTTGTGTTTGAAGTTACTTCTAGTTTTTCCTCGTGGGGGCTTCCAAGGACGATGGACATGTTACATACAAGATACAAGACGACGAGGAGAGCTTGCTGGCGGCTCAAGTTCAGCTCAACCGGAGGATCGACGAGCACGTGAAAGGCTACTTATGGCAGCAAGACGACTTCAGGCTGGAAGTCGCGAATGGCGACCCAGTCACACCCGGGCATCTCAAGGGGACAGTGAGGTATGGGGACAACGTGGAGGACGAGTGGCTGTGTATCTCCATCATCTTCCTCCTCACCCAGGGGGAGCGAAACTTGATCGCTAGGGTGTGGGACAGTGACGGGGAGATCCTCCTCATCGAGAGCGCTGAGAGCCTTCCCAAGTGGCTCGAGCCAGACACAGCCATCAACCGCGTCTTCGTGCATGCTGGTAAACTTCACATCCTCCCTCGTGACATCCTGCGCGGAGAGGCTCCTTCCTTGAGAGAAGCCCTCCAAGCGCTGCTCCCCTTCTCCTCCTCCTCGAACCCGCCGACACAGGCAGACGAGCCCGTGCAGGAGAGCTTGCGAGCAAGAATGCGCGGGTACCCTGAGCGAGCGATTAGAGAGTCCCCTCACCGCAGCTTTTGCTTCCTCCCGCTCTCCATCGCCAAGCTGCTGCAACGTCGACCTCAGCTTCTCTCCGCTGCTGTCCGCTGCTTCTATGCCCGAGGGCCCGAGGACGTAGACGCGGCCTCCCGGCTGGTGCGTTTGTTGCCTTCCCCGACGTGCGTGAGCGACTTGCAGGAGAAGTTTGGAGGAGGGCAGAGAGGCTACGTGCAAGTTCGCTTCACTCGCTGCCTGTACGCCCAGCTGGTCAAGCAGACGTTCTTTGCTCCCCGGGGCTTCCAGCTGCCTGACGAGTAAGACCTCCTCCTCCCCCCTTGCTCCTCGTCCTGAGCCTCCTGCAGGAAAGACCCGACGTTCCGCTGGCACGAGAACGGCATGAAGCTCACGGCAGCCTTCGAGATGCTCTACCGCCGCAACCCCCTGAGGGAAGAGGAGCCGGCCTGCTTCTCCTCCTCCCTCCCCCTCCCCCTTCAGCAGCCGCCAGCTGCAGGAAGCAGCACACAGGGAGCTGAGCTGCGAGGGCCGCGATGGGAGCGCTACATGCGGTCGCTGGAGCGGTTTGGATTCTTTGAGGGGGAACGAGAAGGGTCGAAGAAGCATCGAGAGCTCGTTGCTCAAGCCGCTGCCTTCTTCAGCTCGAGCCGTGCTGGGGGAGAAGGACAGGAGGGTGTTGCCGAGCTGATGGACTGTTTGATCAAGGAGGAAGAGGGGGAGGAAGGGAGAGAGCTGCTGACGTCAAACCCACGTGCCGAGGAGGAAGATGCTGAAGATTGGCTTGACATGGGGCCCGAGGACCTCGAGAAGTTACTCTCCTCCTCCGCTCACCGGGGACGAGCAACGGAGGAGGTCGTGGCTGATGATCTGGTGGAGACCATGCAGGGCTTCATGCAGAAGATCTCTTCCTACGAGGGGGCGGAGGACGCAAAGCGAGGAGAAAAGGCGAAAGGGGGGGAGAAGGCGGGAGGAAGAGAGGAGAAGAACAAGGATGAGGACGAGGACACCAACGGCGCAGGAGTTGGAGATTTGAACGTCGGAAAGTTTCTAAGCGCTCTCGGGCGGTCACTGGGAGTGGATGAATGGTTGGAAGACGAGGAGGAGGAGGAGGTCATCTTGTATCTTCCGTTTGCTTCTTCCTCATCGCAGCTTCTCACAGATGTCAGGGACGAGCGACGAAGACCTTGACTTCGACGAAGACGAGGAGGGCGGGGGAGAAGGAGACCCTGTCACGGGATCGGAGGTTCGGCAAGCAGAGGAGAGTTGGGAAGGAATGAAGGGGAGGGGAGGAGACGGAGGGAAGAGACGAGGTGGAGAGTGAGGTGGGGAAAGGAGTAAGAGGGAGGGGAGGGTAGGAGAGGGAGGGGAGGGAGGGAGAGGGAGGGGAGAGGAGGAAAGGGGAGGAGGAGAGGGTGATGGGAGTGCAGGGGCTGGAGGACTTGAGCATGTCGGACTTGATGCGGCTGATGGACCGGGAGCTCGCGTGGGTCTCGTTCACTCTCGTTGCCGTCCTGACCTGCTAACAGGGGGAGCGAGAATCTTGTGGGAGACTTCGAGCGGTTCGGAGGAGAGGAAGGGAAGGGAAGAAGTCAAGGTGGGAAGCAAGCCTCCAGTCGCAGCGGCCCTGCCATGAAGGAGGAGGAAGAGATAGTGGAGGAGGAGGAGGAGGAGGAGGAGGAGGAGCTGCCTTCGGTGAGTTCTTGTCTTCTTCAACGTTTTAGTGACATTCGGTCAAGGTGAATGTGGAACTGAACCTCGTCAAGAACATCCTGAGCTCGTACCTCCTCCTCCTCCTCCTGCCCCTCACTCACTCACTCTCGCAGGTTCAAAGCTCAAGCTGGAGCTGCTGGCCCTGCTTCCAACCTCTACGGCCTGCACGGTGTCCGCTTACCGGAGGATGCAGCAGCAGCCGAGGAGGAGGAGGAGGAGGAGGAAGAGGGGCAAGGGGCAGATGCGGGGGCAAGGGGAGGTCAGAGTAGGTTGCGAGCGTAGAAGGCGTTGGTCTTGGGATCAAAGTAGAGGCCCTGCTGAGGCATCAGACAGACAAGAAACTTTCGCATCCTACCAGGGAAGGGTCGTAGATGAGCTCCAGTGATCGCTCTCCAACTGCCAACCCTCCTCCTGCTCCTTCGACTCCTGCTCCTGCTCCTGCTCCTGCTCCTCCCTCGCCTCCTCCCTTTCCTGCCGCTGTACATCGATGATCATTCGACCTCGCAGCCGTCACTTCCTCTCGCGAGCTCCGGGAGAAAAATCCATGCTTGAGGGAGAGCGCGTTTCCTGCTGTCCCCTCCAGAGCAGGAGGAAGAGGAGGACGGGACTCGCATGTGAGGCTCTCGATCAGGCAGTGATCGTCGTCCTCGGGATTGTAGCCCCTCGGCGCGCCTGCTCCCTCCTCTTCCCTCTCCTCCACCTGAAGCCCCAGCAGCAGCTGCCGGCTGCCCTGCTGTGACTTGGCGGGACTTCCAGTCTTCACACTAGAGCAGCTGCCCCGGCTCAGCCCCAGCTGGATGCTCAGACTCGTCCTGTACCTCCGCGCATGCTGCTTGTGCGGAGACGTGGCCTGGAGGTTGTTAGCAGAGGGAGCACAAGGTGTAGGGGGGGGGAGGAGAGGAGAGGAGAGGAGAGGAGAGGAGAGGAGAGGAGAGGAGAGGAGAGGAGAGGAGAGGAGAGGAAGGAGAAGAAAGGAAGGAGAGGGTACAGGAGACGCAGGTGAGAGAAAGGAAGGGGGGAAGAGGAAGGAGAGAGAACGAAGGGGAGGACAGGGGGAAGTACCTGGTTTGGTGGCTTCAAAGCATGTATCAGACGTAGAGCTCCTTCTTCCTTACTATCCTCCTTGCTATCCTCCTCCTCCTCCTCCTCCTCCTCCTCTTGTCTCTTTTCTTCCTCCCGCTTTTGATGATTGATCGATGACGATCTTTTCTCCTCCTCCTTCTCCTCCTCCTTCTCCTCGTCCGTCTCCACGCAGGCGCCTCCCTCATCTCGCTTGCTACTCGTCTCCTCCTGTTGGTGGTGCAGCACTGCTTCAATGAAGGCACTCTCCGCCACCTTCAGCTCCTGCAGCGACTTTCGAAGATCGAGCATGCATCGAGCTCTTCCCAGCGAAGCCTCCAAGCTGTTCCTCTCCTCACTCCGAGCCGCTGCTGGGATTTCAGCTGGGGAGTCAGCTAGGGGGCTAGACGTCTTCGCATCCTGTAAGTCTCATCGTCACTGGAGGCATCGAGAGCTGTCGCCCTCACCAGCTGGATTATCTCCTCCACCGCCTGCCGCATCTTCCGCAGCTTCGCGTCCGCTGGCAGCCGCCAACTGTCAGTGTCCTCATGCCAGCCGACAGCAGTGAGGAGGAAGCGACTGCGAGGGCAGGATGCGATGCGGGTCTTGAAGGCCTTGTTCTGCTTGGGGATGCTGATGGCGAAATTCAGAGCCAGCAAGCGAGATCGACGCGGGGGAGAGGAGGAGGAGGAGGAGGAGGAGGAGGAGGAAGGAGAGAAGAGGGACGGAGGGAGGGAGGGAGGGAGGAGACAGAGACAGAGGAGGAAGGAGGCTAACCGTCGGTATTTGACTCGCGAGGATTGGAAAGGACGTTGTCAAAGTACTTGCGCATGAGTCGAAGACAAGCCATGACAAGCGAGTGAGAGTTGCTGAGGAAGAGGCCCCGCACGAGTTCTCCTATCTCCTCCTCCTCTTGCTCCTCCATCTCCTCCTTGACTCGCGCTTTCTCCTCCTCTCCTGTCCTCTCCTCTTCACTTCCCTCCTCTTCTCTGCCTGCGGCACGTACAGTCTCCCGCTCCTCCTCTTGAATTTCCACGACAGCACCTGAAGTCTCCTTCTCATCCTCTGCTTCTTTCATGTCGGAAAGATCGAACTGCTTCGCTCTAGGGACCGCTGCTGCGCTAGCGTCTCCTCTCCCCTCCTCCTCCTCCAGCTCTCGCAGACCTCTGCTGGAAGAGAGGTAGCTCTGCAACAGACCCATTCGCCCCCCGTGAAATTCCCTCCCGTCCTTGAATCCGTTACAAGTGGAAACCTGGCCCTTCTTCGCCGCCGCCTCCCCCACAGCCTCGCCTTGGAAGCTATTCTCCTTCTCCCTCCTGTCCTCGGAGCTATCTCTCCCCATACTCCGAGGTTTGATATCCTCCTCCTCCTTCTCTTGTGATCGGACCGGCGTCATCATCAGCTGCATCTCATCGCTGACCTCGAGCGACTGCTCTAGCATCTTCAGTCGCCCCCGTCGCTTCCTCTCTGACATGGAGGAGCTTCTGCTGCTGGAGGAGGAGGCAGAGTCAGGAGAGGAGGAGACAGTGGGCAAGCTCGTGGATTCTGCTGTGCTATAGCTGGACGCAGCAGGAAACAGAGCAGGAGACTCGGGGAGCTGGAGTGACCCGCTGGACTCGAGGGTGACGGACAACATCCCTAACCTTCCGCGAAACTTTCCATGCGAGCCAGCAGCCGTCTTCATCTCCTCCTCCCCATGAAAGCTTTCCTGCAGAGGTGACGTCGGAGAGAGAACAGATGCTTGTGCTAGTGCTAGTGCTGGTGCTGGTGCTGGTGCTGGTGCTGGAGCTGGAGCTGGAGCTGGAGCTGGTGCTGGTGCTGGTGCTGGTGCTGGTGCTGGTGCTGGTGCTGGTGCTGGTGCTGGTGCTGGTGCTGGTGCTGGTGCTGGTGCTGGTGCTGGTGCTGGTGCTGGTGCTGGTGCTGGTGCTGGTGCTGGTGCTGGTGCTGGTGCTGGTGCTGGTGCTGGTGCTGGTGCTGGTGCTGGTGCTGGTGCTTGAGCTTGAGCTCTGTCCTTTCCATCCATCTGGGCACTTGCTCGGAGGAGTTGCTCCTGCTCTCTTGCGCGTGCTCGAAGCTCAAGGACTTTCTTTCTCAGCTCGTCGATGCTCGCGATCTCTTGCTCGAGCTTCTCCTGCTCGTCAGCCTCGATCGAAGTCCCTGGCGTAGCTTGCTCGCTCCTCTCGTCAAGGAAGATCGAACCGATCGGCAGCAGCGTGCTCGAGCTCGGAAGCGCCTCGCCCATGGACATACGAAGGTGGGAGGATGATGCCAGAGGTTGAGACTGGGAGTGAGGAACCTGCTGATGTTGATGAGGTCAGAGAGAAGGAAGAAGGCAAGAGGCAAGTGTAGAGGTAGAGGAGGGAAGAGGAGAAGAGAAACGAAGTGAGATTTATACCTGGGAGGAGAGATCGGACATGACGAGGAAACGACTGTCTGAATCCTCTGCCAGGCAGAAATCAGGCGACAAGAAACAACTCTGAGCCTTCAACGACTGCTCCATCCAGTTCGTCGACTCTACTCCTCCATCGAGCTCTGGATGCTCATCGACCTCCACTGATCCCCCGGGAAGAGAAGTCGACAGAGGAGGAGGAGGCGACGGCATGGGAACAGCAACTTCATCTCCCTCTCCGACACCTTCTTCCTCTGCCATTCCTCCGTCTTCGCCCTCCTCCTTGACATTGATCTCGGGTAGCTGCACATCTACCATCCTCTTCCTCGCGAGATAATGTTCAAGAGCCAGGTCCTCGTCATCTTCTTCACCCTCGTCTACTGCGTCATGCTCCTGCTCCTGCTCCTGCTCCTGCTCCAGTTCAAGCTCCTGTCCCTCGTCCTCGTTGTCGTCGTCTCTTCCTCCTTCCCTTTCCCCTCCCTGTTCCCCCTCATCGTAATTCTCTTCAAGGCGCGTGTCTCGGTCTTGCTTCTGCGTGTACATCGACTCAAAGCTTCCTGGTTCTTTCACAGGCGTCAACCTCTCGTCCTCCATATTCCCGATGATAAACACTGCATCCTCATTCCCCAGTTTCGCTGCCTTGCGCCACATCACCAGCGCACGCTGCTCGTCCCTCTTCGTCCCGATCCCCTCGTGCAGACACACACCCACGTTGAACATCGCGTCCGCATCTCCCAGCTCCGCCGCCTGCTCCTCGTCACACCTCTCCTCCTCCTGACAGGCCTTACCTTGGAGTACCACCAGCACGCCAGCATCGGGTTCGCTTCCACACCTCTTCCTTCCTCGTAGCACACCCCGAGGTTGAACATCGCGTCCACGTCCTCCTCCTGCGCCCGCACCAGCAGCTCCTTGACGCTCCAGCTCGAAGACGCTGGTGCTGGTACTTTGGACGAGGAGGGCAGAGCAGTCTTTTGAGTCACGTCTTTGCTAGAGCTCTCCCCTCCCTTCACAATCTCAAGCTTTCTTTCCGGGTCACTTCTCTCAGGTAAGGAGCTTTCCTTCTCTATCCTCACCCTTTCACTTCTCTCAGCTAAGGAGCTTTCCTTCTCTATCCTCACCCTTTCACTTCTCTCATCGTCCTCTGTCCTCACTCTTTCGCTTGCTGAATTCTCTGGAAGCTCTTCAACTGGTCCTTTCTCATTCAGGATTCCTGTGTGGTGACTGCCGGTAGACACAACACGAGCATCCACCTGCTGCTCAGCCCAGGAGTCTCTATCTCCTCTTCTCCTCTGCGCCTGGTTCATATGCGCATCATTCTCGATCCTCTCGTGTTGCGCTTCTATGCTCCTTCCCCTCTGATCCTTGCTCTCCGACAATGTCGTGGGCATCGGCGTAAACGTTCGGCTGTTTTTGAGAACCTAAGCTAGCAAGTCACTGAGTGGCAGAAGCTCAACGGCTCACCGATCGCCGCGAGCTGGCAGCATCGCTCTCCGCACTCGAGGAGGGAGAGACTGTTGAGGGAGGGTCGTTGACGTCGAAGAAAGCCGGCCCGCTGACGAGGAACGAAACCTGCAGGTTGTGAGGGACAGCAAAGTTCGTCCTGCACAAGTACCTTCCTTCCTGGCTCAGGAGAAGATACGAGAAGCTCTTGGCCTCCTCCCACTGCCCAAGGAGGCGCTATCGTCTTTGGTCGTTTCCAGATATCACCAGCATATGGTTGAGAATGATTGGCTGCCCCTTTGGTCGCCATGACATTTGTGGACCCACGTTGTGATGCCTGAGCATTGTCTGGTCTCTCTCCCTCTTGATGCAGAGCCCATGGAGGAGCGCTGCTTCCATTGTTTTCATGCCCCTGAGCACTTTCGCGCCTACTACCAGCAGGTCTGATGAGGTTTGCTTCAGCTTTCTCTCTTGGTGCTTGCGCTACTCTCCCTGCTGGATGCGATGGCGTCCTCGCCTCATCTTTCTCGCCATCATCTCTCTCCTGTCGTCTTGTCGCAAATCGTCTCCCTTTTCCTCCTTCGCCTTCATCGTAGTCTGTAGCCCATGGCGGCTTCAGCATTCCCGTACCCACATCTCCGCTCGTGCCCACTACGCCCGGCCCGGAGCCCCTGCCGGAGCCCGGCCGACTGAGTTCGCCTGATTGACTGAGGCGAGCCTGAGATGGCACGCCATGCACATAAGCGAGATTGCTGACAGCTAGTCCCCGTCCTCCCTCCTCCTCTTCCTCCTCTCCTCCTACTTCTATCCTCCTCTCCTCCTCCTCTCCTATCATCAACATCCTGTACTTGCCGCGCTCCTACATATCCTGCGCTTGTTCCTCTGCCCTCCTTCATTATGCTCCTTTACTTGGCATTATTGCTGTGCAACACCATGCCGACTGCACAGGCTTTTCTGCTTCAAGCGCGTCCTATTCTGATACCTGTGGGCTTCAAAGTCAGCTGCTCATTTTCCGGTGGCATCAGAATGTCTGCGAGTAGCAACAGACCGCTGAGCAAGGCGATCGACCCTTCAAAGCTCCTAAATGGCTTGTACACGGACGATGATGTCCTCATCTCCGACCTAACATCGCGGTCACGTGCCAACTGGGCGAAGGATCTTCTTTCAGTCGCGAGCTCTCGAGTTCTCGCGCGTATATCGCAGAGGATGACCATCACAACAGCTTGGGCAGCATACGTCACAGCTCTCATCACCTGGGGAGATTACCTCGCTCCTCCTTCCTGGGGGAGTTTCACCCAATTCACCGTTCCTGGCTGGCCCCATGAGCTTGTGGGGGCCTTTCTCTCCATCCTCCTTGTCTTCAGGACTGATCAGGCGTATGACCGCTTCTGGGAGGGCAGGAAGCAATGGTCTTCACTGAACAGTCAATGTCGGAGCATTTCGAGACTAGTGCTGTCGAACCTGCCTATTGGAATGGCCCAGGAGTTCTTGTCGCTGGTTGCTCTGTTTCCTGTTGCCTTGAAGCAACATCTTCGAGGTGATAGGAACGAGAGAGAGCTGGCGGCTGTCTTCCACCTGTTCCAACCCAAGAATGTGAAAACCCTGGAGATTGTGTTGGAGTCAAAGAACATGCCCATGACTGTTGTATGGTGTATGTCTCAGCTATCAGCACCACTAAGAAAGAACAGAGCCTCGCGGATCTTCAACTACGAGGTGTTGTGGGAGGAGATGGAAGAGAAGCTGTCGGAGCTTGCGGACATTGTCAGCCAATGCGAGAAGATAAAGTGTACGCCACTGCCTCTCAGTTACTCCCGGCACACCAGTCGCTTCTTCTCTTTGTTCTTGTTCTCGTTGCCGCTGGCCCTAGTGAAGGAAACGTCTCCGCTTCTAGTGCCAACTATCGTCCTCACCACGAGTTGGGTCTTGTTCGCCACAGAAGAGATTGGCCACATCATCGAAGAGCCTTTCGGCACCATCGACAGCAAGTCGGCTGGTCGTCGTACCCAAAGGCAATCTAGCATCATGGTAGATCTCGAGATGTGGCGACTCGTGCTGAATTGATCTTGATGTCCAGGATGTCAAGGTCTACTTCGATAAGGTTGACCTCGACGGTGACGGGTTCATTACTGTGCGGGATATCACGGAGATGCTCCCAGACATTGTCGGGATGAGCGTTTCGAGCTCGCAGGTGAGTTCATCACTCTCATGGCAGGGACATAACGGTCTTCAGGCTGAGCAAGTGCTGTCACGCCTGGACCTAAATGGAGACAGCAGAGTTGATTTCGAAGAATTCCGCCTTATCTGGGCCTTCATGAATGGCAGTCCTAGACTGGACCGGGTGAAAGAAAAATAGCCCTGCGTGCACGAAGAGCTGATCACTTCTCAGCTCGAGACTCTGCCGTTGAGTAAGTATTGCGATGCGATCCTCCGGGAACTCTTCTATCTGTGGAGAACACAACAATGTTCGGTGCTGCAAGAGACCCTAAGCGATGCTCGTCTCGATGAGGACGCGATCAAGCTTCTTGGTTTGGGTATGTTACCAGTATGAAGACAAAGCTGTTGAGCCATTCGTAGATCCCAATGCAAGTTCTTCAAAACCTGGTGGGTGGGATAGAGCAGCAGTTTGTGCGTGGGCAAAAAATCTGGGCCTGGAGGAGGCTGCAAGATTGTTGGAAGCCAATGACGTGGATGGCAAGGTGAGGATTACAAAGGACATGAGGCGTCGGTTGTCAGTGATACTCCTGCAGATACTTGTATCCTTGAACGAAGAAGACTTGATCGAGATGGGCCTTGATTGTCCCAAAATCCGTTCTCGACTTCTGAATTCGATTCCTGAAGGACTAAGACAGAAACAAGATTCATAGATGGGGGGATACAAAAGTGCAATATTATGTACAGTAAATTTTACACCCAGTCTCCTTCTCGCAGCTTCCTTGGGAGATATTCTTGAGTGAGGTATTGGAATCCCTTGCTTGTGAATGCCTCTGCGCAGACCAAGTAAATCCCTCCGAAGCACAACAAGAAGATCATACGAATTTCTGCTTTTTCCTTTCTCGAAAGCAGAGTTTCCAGCTCCTAAAAAATGTTTCAGTACAAATAATTGAGGCACTCACATTGCACCTTAACCCAAGCTGATCGTTTCTGAATGTAAGGCTTCTCTTTTAGACTTTCAGCAAAGCTCACGTCGTGGGTGGTCAGTTCCAATCTATTCTTGAAATGTAACCACAAGAAATCCATCATCAATGATTTACCTGCATTCTCGTGGAACATTGTACTTGTCCAAATCCGAGGGACGGACTCCCAGCCACTTGATATCAGGCGTAGCGAGATTTGCGCTGTCGTGAGACATTGCCTCCGAACCTTGCATGTAAACCGAAAGAATCTTCAACCCATGGGCATCACTATCAAACAATCCGAGAATTGGGATCTTGAGAGCATCCTTGACTCTCCTCAAAAACATTCTTGTAGCCAAATCTGCTTCGCCTTTGCCCTGCATGAAGCTGGTAAGATTCGGGAGATGACTGCACTCGTGCCGCAATGACCGTAATTATCACGCAAGGATAAGTATTGTAGAATCTGTCTTCTGCCAAACGTTGAAAAGCTGCATCTTTCTCAACTAGAAGGATGAATTCTGCTGGCCTGAAAACAAAAGATCACTAACTGTCAATCAAAACGACACAAATGTGATGAAGACAATCATGTTCATTTACCGGTCATAGTCTGACTTGATGTTTGAGACCCTGTCGAGACGAGCATGGTTTACACTTCTGAGGGTAGAAAGAAGCAAATCACCGATCCAAAAATGAAGGGATGTTCTTTCCACTCCTTCCCATCTTTGTACAATCAATGAAGTCGTCATCATCATTGAACTGCAATCTTCCAACCACAAGTCCTTTTTCAGATGCCGTGACCTTGTAAAGAATAATCCAAAATGAGAACAGCTGCATAGATATGGCAGAAATAACCTGCAGACTGTGACGAGTACATCCGAACATCAGTGAAAGTTCCTCCAGCACTGCATCACTGTTCTGCTGCTTCTCGAACAGCTTTACATCCGCATAGAACAGATCACGTTTTGTGCTGTGAATTGCAAGTGAGAGGAGCTTCGCGGTAGCGCCAGGTGGTGAGGCAATGCACCTGTGAATGTTCTTCTTCGCCAATTCATGCACCAACTGCATGAGGCGGGTCATCATCGTCGTTCGCCTGAAGGCACATCATCCAAGGACCGTCTCGCAGCTCTCTCTCGCGTACTTGACTTGAGAGGAATCAGCAAACTGTCGCTTCATGGCCTTGTACTCAAGATAATTCCTATCAAGCTCGGGCACGAACTGGACATTGGTAGCACTGCCTCGCTGAGCAAAGGTAAACGCCAGACCTGCACATCAATCTGAGGACGAAGGAGAGGCAGAAACAAACATTCAATCATGACAGAGGTCTATACCTCGGCCATCGAGAATGGAAGCGACAGCCTGGCATGCGACAAGTTCAATGTTCTTCCTGACTTCTTCCGGGCTCTGATCGGACACTTCGAAGAGGTTCGTATATCCCAGCTCCGAGACCGAGGAGGCTGCTTGTGAGGACTGTTGGAGGTGGCGGGCAAGAGTTCTGACTTCCTTGAGCGTCTCCTCCATGTCCTCTTGCGACATGTCCGCCGCTTCCGCTCGCCGCTTCTTGGACATGACCAGGCCGAAAAACGCGGGAAATCCCACCCGTCCAATTAACGTTAAAACAAATAACATTAAATAGTTGAATTATTGATAATATTTCAAAAGTAATGTTAAATGCCCCTAACGGTGCTGCCCTCTCCACCCCGCAAACACCAATTTATACCACCGGTAGTAGAGGGAAAACCCACCCTACCCTCGAATCATCTCTATCAGCAGTATCGAATTGAAGGTGGGGGTACTCAAACAGGTGGTGGGTACGGGTAAAGTTTGGGGTAGTGTGCCAAGGGGGTAATTCGAAACAGGGGTGCAAATCGAAGTGTGGTGGTAGGTTGACGGGGAAAACAGGGGGTAGGGACGACAGGTAACAAAAGGACTACGGGGGTACTGGGCTTTGGGAGTTGGGGAGGGGGTAGGGGGTGGAGATGGACGGGTTCGATATACCAGTGGGGTACAGTCTTGACTGAAGAATGGCAGGAGACGACGCGAGGGCGAATGCGGAGGCGGGGGAGAAGGAGGAGGAGGAGGAGAAGGAGGAGGAGATGTGGGAGGAGATCATAGAGATTACAAGATGAAGTTGGATCACGAGATAGAATCAGAATGAGATAATGAGCAGAGCGAACAGAGAGAGGAAACTCTGCGTTGGAGGATTGAGAAACAATGAACAAGATGGCTTTCTGTGATATTCAGGACGCGACGGATGTGGCATGATAGCCAAGATGATTATGAGTGGATGTTCGGATGATTTGTAAGATGGAGTTACGTAGAGCATGGTTTGAACAAGGAGTGCAGCTGGATTAGGATGTTTTATTCAGCTCCTGAAGATTGTTTTACGACAATGAGACACCGAGGGCACGAGCAATAATTGTAAGAGGAGGATACCAAGTACACGTTAGTTTGTCCTTGAAAACAAAGGAAGAGGATGTCGCTTGCTAGACAGAAACACAAATTCAGGCAGTGCCCAATGACTGCTCCTCGCCTCCAACGTGCTTCACAACGGGCTTATTTGATAGTAGAACTGATGACTTGGTATCGTTCTAGGATGAGGATTATTCGATCCGTCTCCTAGTTCGTGTCTACGATGAGTAGACTAGGAGGTGCTTGACACTGCACCTTGATCCGTGAGGGTGGCGAGCTCTATAGTACAAATCAGCATGGCTCCGGAGTTGAATTGGAGCAATGAAGAGTGGCGGAGGTTGCAGACCTCTCTCTTTGCGGTGAGTTTGATCACCATGGTGTCTGTCTGCGGCTGGAAGCACTTTCTGTGAGGTGTGAGAGCTTTTGTACATCGCAGGTAACAGGCTCGACCAGAATCCGCCTGTCGGAGTTGACGCAGGAGCAATGGGAGCAGGTCTTCTGAGCTTGCTGGTTCCTTCCAGACTCAAGCAGAAACACCCTGACAGGTAGTACGTGACACTCGGAGGTCCCGAGAGGACATCGATGCTGCTCTAGACGCGATGCTGAAGCGACAGGTCAAGAAGCCGCTGACCCTTTCACATGCTGCTTGCTTACACGGTTGCAGGACCTCCCTGGTGGAAGAGTACCTGTCCAGACCACCGAGAGGCTCTTCAGAGAATCGGTTTCTTGTTCCTGCGTCTGTGCAATCAGCCGCTGACCTTGGGGCTCGTTGCAAGATTCCTTTCCTCCGAGATCTGTTCTCACAGCCAAAGGAGGAAGGGCCTTCGGTGCCCACCCCGCGGCTCGAGAAGATCCTTCTTGCGATAGAAAGTTTCAACTTTGCCACGTTGCCCTACGATGACCTGTTCTTGGTCTGGGATGTGAGCCCTCCTGCCGTCTCTTGATCCTGCTGAGCTCGTTGATCCCTGCAGAGGATCGGCAGGAGTCAAGGTCTCATCCGAGGGCACGAGTGCGTGCGCTGCGTTTACTCTGTGCTGGGTCAGATCACCCACACTCAGGTAAGGCTCCATTTGCCTGCCTCTCTCCTCGCTGCTGTGCTCATCCCTTTGCTCGCGTCCTCCCTGTCACCTGCGTGAGCTCAGCTTGTCCTGCCTGTTCCTTCCGTTGTTGCCTCTCAGGCTGAGGCTAAAGCCTCTCCCCCTCCTCTCCCTGACGAATGTGTCTGCGATGACATGCGAGCAGGTGCAACGCATGGACGCATCCGCCCAGAAACAGCACAGGGCATCAGTGACGGAGCACAAGATTCTCAATCCGCCTGCCCGCCGCCATGGTTCAGACCGAAATCAAAGTCACTGCAACCAAGGAGGGAGGGAAGAGGCAGGAGGAGGAGGAGGAGGTACATCACACGAAGGCTCCAGGAGGAAATCAGTGGAAGAGAATGTAAATCGTTCGTGGCAACTGCGTCGAATCAGAGGAGAGGGTGCTGCAGAATTTCCTCCTGCTGCAGCAAAGCGAAGTGAAGGAGGAGGAGGAAACGTAGTGTGGACAACGGACAAGCTGAAGGGAGACAACAGCAGTGCTTCACTGAAGCTTGCGCGCCCGTCGTCGGCCAACGCTTCCCAGGTATGCTGTGCATGTGGGAAAGGAAGCATCTTACAATCAGATGCAGGCGTCGAGTAGGAATTCTCGTCCGGCGTCAGGTGGAAGCCTGCCGGAGAATGGCAGCAAGGCGACAGAAGGGATACAAAAGTCCAAGGTGACACGCATGCGCTGGGGAGGACCCGGGGGGGGAGGGGGGGGGAGGGGGGGGGGGGGAAAGGAAAGAAGTCCCGAGGGTCGAAGGAGGAGGAGTGGAGGAGTGGAGGTGTAAAAGTTGTTGACGTTGAGGAGCAGGTGGAGGATCAGCGTAGCAGTCAGAATGTGACGATCTCATGGACTTTTACAAGCCGCTTGACACTGAGATGCTCAGGTGAAGAGGCAGGTGGGAGGTGGGGGGGGGAAGACCAAGGGGTCACCGGATCCGAGCGAGGCAGCTGGTAAAGATGATTTCCCAGCTGCTACAGAGATTGAGAGAGTGCGTGAAATTGAAGGGTCGGGGAAGGTCGGGGATGATGAGCTGACGACGAGGAACGAGGGGCACGCGAGCGACGGAGGGAGTGAGGATGAGGCACCTTCATTCTCCTCCAGCTCGTTCTCCGCTGCTGCAGCTGCTGATGGGCAGGGCAACGACGGTCTCCTGCTCGGGTCCAACGCGCTGTTGGGTGGAGGGAGTGTGGCGTGGTCGAGGAGGAGGCTCCGCGAAGTCTCTTCGGTGGGACAAGAGGGAGGATGCAGAACAGCTAAACTCTCCTGCAGGAACGAAGGATGCCAGAGCAGAAGCCGATGCTTCCTGTAGCGAGCGGAAAGGGAGGGAAAGTCTCAGGTGCAGCTAGTGAAGTCAAAAGAGGAAGAGGAAAGTTATCGACACGGTGGCAGGCCTTGCTGGAGACCCTGAGATCATCTTTAACCTCGGTGGCCCCATCCTCTTCACCGCCCCTCACAGCCTAAACATCGTCCGAGGAGGAAAGGTGCGCGTGTCCGTGGCGCAAGAGTGAGGGTTGATGAGAGGGCAGGACGGAGAGCGGAAGAGAATTCACAAGAGAGAGAAGTTCTCCTCTGAGATCGTTTTGAAGCTTGCCGCCTTCCTCGAACCTTACCTGGGAAAGGTACTGAGAGCCCCTCCTTCTCCTCCTCCTCTTCCTCCTCCTCCTCACCCTCCTCCTCCTCCTCCTCCTCCTTGCTTCTTCACCTCCTCTCATCTCAGCGCTATGTCCTCGCGTCTGAGGGTTGGGGCCTCCAGCCGGCCTCCTACATCATCTGGAATCGCATGGTGGCGAGGAAAGGAGACCCTCGGCATCTTGACCCCAACTATCTCACTCAGGTCTGTCTTTGCCTCCCCCTCCTCTCCTTCCCCCTCAAACGTTTTCGCCTCATTCCCCGACCTCCTGCATGCTATCTTCCCATCCCCTTGGGTCTTCATCGTATCCACTTGCATTCGTAGTTTGCCTCCTTCGCCGCCTCCTTCCCTCAAGCGACCTCACTCTTCTCCAACTCGACTCCTCCGATATTTCTTCCCCTCATTCCCTTGCGACTCTCCGCTGACTTGCCTGCTCCTCTGCCTTCCTGCTCTCTCTCTGCTGTTTCTCTTCCTAACTCTGGATGGATCGCTTCCGCAGGCTCAGTCGCCCTTCTCCCCGTGGCATCACGCCCTCCATCTCTTCAAGGATCACTGGCGCTCGAGCAGGGAGAAGCTCAACCGAGAGGAGCAGCAGCTCCCGCAGGACAGCAGCGAGAGTCAGAGAGTTGGAGAGGACAGGAGAGAAATCGCGGGGAGTCGCGCAGTGGGAGAGGAGAAGAAGGAGTCAGCAGGCTCACTCGCGCCACCTGCGCCCATCTTTCACGTGGATATTCACGGCAAGATGGATCGCAAGGACAACCTCGACTTGGATATCGGTCTGTCGTCGCTGCACAAGAGGACGGGGGAATGAAGTCATGACGTTTCCCCAGGCATGGGCCCGATGGAGAATTGCTGGGCTGCAAAGGGAGACTCCGAGAAGCATGCAGAGTTCGTCGCACTCAAAGAGGTGGGGAGAAGAGAAGACGAGTAGAGGGAGGATGAGGAGAGGGAGAGCGGAGGACGAGGATGAGGACGAGGATGAGGACGCAGACGAGGAGTTAAGAGTAGGGGACGTTTGACCATGTTGTGCAGCATCTCGCTTCGGGGATGCGAGAAGCGTTCAAGGGGGTGAAGGGGAAGCATTTTCTGGTGCATGGAAAGATGGTTAAGTTGGAGCAAGGACACAGATAGGAGTTGACGCGATCTTCAGATGCCCATGACTGTGGAGGAGGATCCGTACCTGAACGCCTACTGGGGGGGAAGGTAAGAACGAGTTGGAAACGAAACTTTTCTCAACTTCCAATAGCACATTCGAGACGATCTCACATCAATCTGTCAACCTGAGAATCCCGGTAAAAATCAGCTTTATAGCTGAGATATTGCTGATTTTGACTCGTTGTATGTTGTATCGTCTCCACCCTCACTCCCTTGATCGTTTTTCACGTTCTTCTGCAGGCAATCCAACTTGAAATCCCGCTAACAATGCGACGAGAGCTTGTTCGCAATGACGATCTCTTCGGGTTGATCTCTCTTCTCTTTCCTTCTTCTTGTCTCCTCTTTGCATCCTCCTCCGCAGCCTCAACCTCATCAACATCAAAGATTGTTTCTTGTCCTGCTCTCCTTCTTGCTCACTTTCTGATCTTTGCAACTGGGTTGACACATGCATCACTTTCTTGTTCCTTGTCGCCCCTCCTGATCCTTGGCAGGCGTTTTGCCCTCGCCATCTTCCACTCCTACAAGTACATGGTCAGCTCCTTCAAGAGCTGGGAGGAGGACGCAAGTTCCTCGCCGCCTGTCTGCGGCTGCGCGCGGTAAGCGATGAAGAGCACGAAGAGACCTGACGGGGGTGCAGACATCTGACAGGGGAGAGGACGGCTGAGATCCGCTCGCAGCTCATGCAAGACAGCGAACCTGCCTGCAAGACGCTGGGTGAGGTGACAAGAGGAAGGACATGCGAGGTGACGAAGAATGCAGAGGAGGTGGAGCTTGCCTTGCGAGAGCTGAATCACCTGGAGCGGACCATTGTCGAGAAACAAATCTAGCGAGAATGATGGGATGGGGCGAACGGGGAGAGACGATATGTATATGCATGGATCAGCAATGTTTGTATAGAAAGAAATGTAACTTGCAGTAGGGAACTCGCAGCTTGTCCTCCCTTCACGTAGACCCCCGGTCGGGAACATCATGACCTTGTTCTCCCTTGACCTCCTCCACCAAAGTGACTTGTGGTTCCGAAGGAGCAGGTGGAACTCCTTGCGGTGAAGACTTCTCCTCACCTCCATGCTCCTCAAGTTCCATCTTCCCTTCCTCTTGTTTCTGCTCCGTCTCCTTCCCTTCATTCACTTGCTTCCGCTGGGCAGCAGCTGGAGAGAGCGTCGTGCTTTGCTTGTCCGTGGGCATCAACCTCGAGGAAGAGGTCACAGCCTGCCGCTCATGGCGCATCATCACCTCTGACTCATGCGCTCGAGTCTGTCAAGCACAGAGTTCATCTTGTGGACGAACATCTGGATACAAAAGCTGAGTTCAAGCACGTCTTTCCTTCTCTTCTCAACCTTCCTTGCCTGCCTGTGCGGCTCTTCGCCCTCGATCTCGTCGACCTTCAGCAGGAGCTGAGACGTGTCAGTGAGAAGCAGGTGGGGACATGGGTGAGGCGATTGCAGGCAACCTTTTGTGCAGCGTCATGCATGAAAGTTGTCAAGCTGAAGATCGTTAGGCCCAGGCGCATCAGGGTCATGATTAGATACCTCAACAGTTTCTTGGGAAGTTCGGCATCGACATCGAGGCGTTTCACGAGGAGCAGAGCTTCCAGGGCGTTGGCTTGCTGTACAGATCAAGTAAATCATGTGTATGACATGACATCACAACAGGTGAAGATGTGCGCTCGTCTGAGATGTCCAGTGAGATACTGTACCTCCTCCATCACTATACACTTGCTTCCGATCCGGTCGACAAGATGTCTGAAGACATTGGTGTGAGAGTCTATGGCCTGGAAGCATCGGCTTACTTGGTCAGCGAGATGGGCTCGACTTCTTGACCCCATGGAAGCCTGCGGTTGCAGTCATCTCTTCCGAGTGCAAACTCGCCAGGCCTACTGCTCCAGCGTCATTTCAACTCCATCCTGCAGGAAGAGCTTGGAGAGGTCCGCGTTGGGCTCCATAGGAGTAGAGTTCTGTAGTGCGGTTCAGCTCGCCTTCCTCTCCCACCTTTCTGGTACGTTGAGCAGAATTTTCTGCCTGGCCGGGAGAACTCCCGTAACAAGGAAAACACTTAGCTGGAAAGAAGCTGGGGACGACTGTCAGCACAAGCTCAATAGCAGAAAGATGATCACCCATGGTGGCCCCGAGATCAAGAAAGACCCGGTGCTTTGACTTCTCATACCACAACACCGTGTAGACTACAGCCTGTCTGCACTGTTCACCAAGTCAGCTCCCCCTCAATAGTTGTTTCAATCACTTGTTTGGAAGGCTTGCCCTCCATGAGCTCTTTGGCTTGCTGAAAGAAAGCTTTCATGGCGAAGATCTGTTTTCATGGTTACAGGTTGAAACAGACTGACCGATTTCTAGATTGTCCTATCGTTCAAATTCTGTTCTGCTTCCACTTCTCCCACTCCCGCTTCTGCTCTTTCACCGTCCTAGCTGCTTCTCAATATGTCAGCGTCCGCTCCCTCTTTCCTTCCTCCTCCATCCCCCAACTTCAAGCCATTGCGGCAAACACCACACATGAGCAAAGCAGGATGACTGAGCCGCGGCACCGGGCACTACCCCGGACGGGGGCCCGCCGGCTATCGGACCGTACTACGCCGGCGGGGGGGCTTGACGGAACCGTGACGGTTCCGTCACCGGGCCGCCGGGGCCCGGGCCGGCCGGGCGGAGAGTCGGACCCGGCAGGAGTCACGCTGAGTCAGTGGCCACCAGGCGGCCTTGTAGTGGAACGGCGTCCCCGGTCCATGACCGTACTACGGCGGGCCAGCAATGGCACTCACTGAGCCGCCCGGCGCCCGGCGCTCCCGGTCCCCGGCCCGGAGGCGGCGGCTCTGGCCGCTGCCGCAGGCTGCCGCGTGCGGTGGCAGCGGCTCTAACTTAGTAACTTGACACGGTGCCCGAATTTCGAACGGACCGTCCGGCGCTATGCAGCCAGCCGTTGATGAATAGCCTGAGATCGAGCCCGGCATCGATCTCAGCGGCGGCAGTGACGGTGAGCCTACTAGGCTACTCAAGGCTGGCCCTAGTGCCGGCCAGGGCCCGCCGGGGCGTCCGGCAATGCTGTCGGAGACGGTCCCGGGCCGTCACGGTGAGTCCGCCTCGTCGTGTAAGCTATAGCAGTCGAACTGGTAGTAACTAAAGTTGCACCTGGTACCTCACAGATCCGAGGAGTCTCGGCGGTACTAAATTTGTGCAGTACAAGAGCAGATGTTGAGTACTATGTGTACTTCAAGTAAACAAGTGAGTAATTAAATAGTACCACTATTTTAGTACCAGCCAGTTTCCTGGGGTTAAGCCGAACGACCGTAAGTGCGAAAGGTTACGGCAGGAGGAGAGGGGTGGGGTAGGGGTGGGATGGGGTAGAGGATGAATGAAGACCTAGGAAGACTATGAAAGGTTATTATGAAAAGCAGACTCGCCTCAGAACCTTTCCTATCCCTTCACTACCCCACCCTCATAGTTCCTCTCAATGCTCCTTACCCGCTCATGCGGGAGTTCAGATAGCAGTCGCCATACATGCTTGATTTTCATCTGACAACCTCCACTATGCTCCTTCTCTACATTCTCGCATCTTTACTTCTCTTTCACGCTCAACCTGCCTTTCAGAACAGTGTACAGCATGTAAATCCAAGATGTACAGTAGGTTCTTTCGACTCTACTACATTTGCAAGAGAATTACTTCACACATGCGGAGTTCGACGAAATTCCAAATGTAGACAACTTTCAATTGATGCAGACAACATCAATAATGCAGCAGACAGCACTCCTCACACAACGTTTCGTTACGTTTTTAACGGCACAGTGCCGCATCTTGGTGTAGATCTTGGTAGACCTAAATGGATTCAGAGTATACAAGTCCGGCATATTTCAAAACAAATATCGTCAGGAATTTTGCAAGTTTTTGTTGGAGACGATCCAACTTCATTTCACATCAATCCTATCTGTACTTATAGTAACAGCAACGGAGATGTTTTCAGTAGAACGCGATTCAATGTTTCAACTACGTATACGATTCCTTGTAACTTGAAAGGGAGATACATATGGCTAGTAATCGCAGACAGCGACCTACGCACGCATGTTGAAATCGCTGAATTAAGAGTTTTTGGGGGTTGTTCAAAGTGTCCTTCCGGGTATACGACCAACCACAGTGGGGCTGCCAAGCTATCCGATTGCATCCTGGATTCGGTGAATTTACCAGCTGTATGCAAAGAAGGAGCAAGCGTGCATACCAATGCGATGCAACGAGTAGCACAAATCCTTGCTGCTAGGCCGGCTTGGGGAGTTTACCACGCCGAAGACTGGGATCCTCACACCAGGACAATATCAGAATCATTCGGTAGGCAGCTGCCGGTAACCAGCAGAGGTGATTTGAGGTATGAGAAGAAGAAGGGGTTCGGAGCAGATGCACCCATCAGCTCTTTGAATGGCAACATGTCTTCTGCTATGCTGTGGCCTTTTGGAAGTATTCCAAGATCTTTTACGATATGTGCGGTGACACGATATGCTGGTTCCAATAGAAGGAGGATAATACAAGGATCGACGGATTTCACGTTGGGTCACTACTTCAATGCAGTCGGTGTATCACATTCACAATCATGGATGACACAGAAGCAGCAGGCTTATTCAAACCCTCTTGATTGGCTCGTGATCTGCACGAAGAATTCCGGGGAAACTCCTGCGAATGTGAAGGTGTCTTCCTTACATGGAGATGTATTGTCTGTGGGAACCAGCATTGGTGGGGAGGTCTTTGGGAATATGATGATAAATGCTGGTCTCTTTCCGAATGATTCCAGCGACTTTTCATTTTCACAGGTGTACATATGGGAGCATGGTTTGTCTGCAGACGACATGGAGGCTTTGGTTTATTCTTTGAAATGGTATCTTTCGCATGGTATTGAATTACGCTATCTTGAATCAGTCTTCAACCCTCAAATAGTCCCTGGATTTGGATGTGATGTACCAGTTTCTTGCCCTTCAGATTGGGTTTCAGTTCAGAGTGCCCCCGGCGTTCGTAGTCCCAACCCCCAATCATACCATGAAAGGATAGGAAACGAAGATGCAGAACTCTGTTACCTGCTCCTGCCATACCAGGGACTGCATAATGTCACAGTATACAATCTGTACTTTCCAAGGGAAATTATGGCAGCAGTGGTTGTCTTGGGTGGAGGTGGGGGTGGAGCTGCATTCGGTGGAGGAGGCGGAGGAGGAGGTGTCTTGCTGTCGAGATCCTTGCACATCGCGGCTGGCTTTCATTCTGTAACTGTGGGTAGGGGTGGAGGCGGAGGGGGTTCTGATTGGGCAGAGCCTGGCTGTGGAGGGAGAGGGTTCTCAAGCTCTTTCGACTCGTTCGTTGCAGAGGGTGGAGGTGGAGGAGCCTCCAGATCTCTACGTGCACAGGTGAAATCCATCGGTCACAACGGTGGGAGCGGGGGGGGAGGCTCGGGAACTCTCAATGCTGGATTGAGCACGCAACGCTCTTACGAGGGGTTCCTGGTCTTTGGCAACGATGGTGGCTCAGGAACTCTAGAAGATGCTTGCGCAGAAGAACCCCGCTTTTCCCACGGAGGAGGAGGAGGTGCTGGGGCACCTGGTGCCTCTGGACATTGCTTGCGTGGGGCTGGGGCGGGAGGACGAGGGATAGACGTCTCACCATATGTTGGAAATCGGATAGGGCAGGCTGGATGGATAGCAGGCGGGGGCGGAGGAGGAGCTCAGAATATGAACGTATCAATGTCAACTGCACAAAATGCCTTTAAGCCTTCAACAAGTCGTGGAGGAGGCGGAGCAGGAGGATATTTCCAGACATGCACTCCTGGTATATTTGGAACAGGAGGGGGAGGGGGAGGGGGAGGGGGAGGACAGAATAGCGGAGGCTGCGAGGGAGGTTCAGGGGCTGTCGTTCTCGCAATACGAGGTTCTGCACAGCGAGCTCATGCTGCTGGTGATGCATCTGCAATGCCTGCCCGCTCCTCGCTTCGTTCTCTTCTTCAGGTGTCGAACTTGGCCAATGCCTCCAACTCATCGGTGGCTGGAGGATCTAGTTCATCGATATCCAACATCTCCAACGCAACCTCAGCTCCCTCTATTCCTTCTGGGAGTGTGCCTACTACAGATGCAAAGATTACGCTATCAAACTACACTGCAGGCGCTATCACCAATGCATTGATCTCCTTTGCTGTCCCTCCTACAGCGCCGCTTCGAGAAAACTCTTCATATTTACTTGTTTTGCAGTTTCCAAGGACATTTCGAGTATGCTCCACCACAACGAGACTGGGAACTATCTTGATTCCGGCTTCAGATTCCAGCAGTCAAGTCCGTATAGAAAAGGTTCAGGACGTTAGTAATCTGCAAGGATATTATCTTCCATGGTTGAATTATTCTCTATTTCAACCCGACAATACGGCATTTTCAAGTGTCATGTACTTTAATCTTAGTGGATCTACAAGCACAAACTCTACACAGTTCATCCAATTTTCCATCCAAGGACTTCAGAATGGACTCTACTCAGGTGATGACTCTCTTGCATGTGATGTTATTTGCCACTGACTGATTGAATTTGCAGGACTCTTTAAACCAAGTTATGAACAACGGGATTTCTTCGGACTCTTTGTCTTCGAATACCATCCTTATCTGAACTGTCCAGGCTGCATACAGATCATGTTTTATCAACAAGGAATTAATGATCCTTCATACCCAAATGCGATTCCACTTTACTTTGTTCCGAATTCATTCATCAATGTTTCAACACGACTTGAAGGGCTGAATCTATACATCCAGTTTCAGTCATCGAGCTGGATTCCTGGCAACGGACGTCTGGAGCTCAATTTGTCTGAGGGTGTTGCCTTTGGCACATCTCATGAAAGCAATAACATCTTGTCTTATGCTCCTTCATATTGTCCGTCAGAGAGCATAGCGACGCTGGGTTGTGCCATTCAAGGGATTGCTAAGTACAGCAACAAGAACCTCACTGTAACATTGAACAACGCCTTGGACATTGCAGTTGATTCAACTCTTCTTTTGAATCTCACAGGTGTTGAGACCTTCCTGCCACATACCTGTTCTCTCCCTGGTCCAAGACAATTTTGCAGTACGTCTCCAATATCAATACGAGTGTACGAGTCCCCAGCAGCTACGAAGAATTTTCTTGTTGGACAGGCCTATTTGAAGTTGGGTCCGTACAATGCTTCGGGAAAAGTTGAAATCTGGCCAAACGTTGCTGGAGCACAGAACGTCTCTATGAATTTTTCGGTGGTTTTGACCAATCCTTACTTCGGCGGTGATCTCATAAGAGTGTGTGTCCCCAGATATCTGCTAGATGTGACATCATCCGCAAATATATTGTGTCGAGCCCCTTTCGATCTCGATTTGAAAGTCTTCAAGTCAATTGACTTCTCTTGCTTGAATATCGTGAATCTGAAGCAGAATTTCTCTAGTAGAAAGTTAGATTTCTATTGCTCTGGTTTCGGTTTGAGAAACAACAGTGGACCAATCTTCGACAAAATAATGGTTGAAACATTTTCTGAGGGGGTTTACCCAATCGACAAGGGCTACCTTCCTGTAGTTCCCGATCACGTCAAGTTTGTCGAACTTCAACTGGATCTGAGGGTCAACACCTGGATTTTTAACCTGGTGAATGGTGTTCCAATTTCGAGATTTGCTGAATTTGAAATTTCGTTTGATTCAAATTTTGTTATGGGTTCTTCTTTTGCATATTTATCCTTTCAGACTATCAATGGTCCCAAGGCTGAAAGTCTAAACTACACACTCATATCCTCTCTTGAAAATAGAACGGTACTTTCCTTCAGGCGAACCGAAAATTTTACAATCCCATCCTGGACAAATTTGACAATTCAGGCTGATTTGCTCAACAGAACATATTCTATGATTCTGACATGGAATTTTACAATCCTTTCTGATAGAGGGTTGCTGTTGGAACAAGGGATATCAAATACATGGATACCCTATTTTCCAGTGATACCTCTCACTATCCGTTCGAATGACTCATCGGCTTCTGCAGCAGCCACTATCACCGCTGTTTTTCCTGAAAAAGTTGTGTTGGACTTTTCTCAGATGGCTGGGAAAAAGATAGTATCGATCGAGTTCGATCCCTGTTATGACATTCGAGGAGTGCATCTTTCCGTGTCTAATTTTTTTGGATTTGATTTGTCGTTTCCAATCTACCGAGATCACATCTGGGAATGGAATTTCACAGATACTGACATCTTTCCATTGGCATTTAATGTTGTCATTCAGAGCAACACTGTTGTGGGATATCTGCAGAGTTCCAAACCGAGTGAATCTCGGAATTCTGTATTTATGCTCCATGCCTGCAAAGAATATTCATTCACCGATTGTCTTCGACCATGTGGTGAACCAATACTCTTTTGTGCTGAGTTAACCACGAACTTTGAAAATTGTACCTGCGTGATGAAGGGGGTTGGCAACAATTCCAACTTTTCGTTCTTGAACTTGGATAACCTGAGTATTGCTTTTGCAAACGTTCAAAACCCAGGCACTCTTCAAAAGAATATAAGAACTTTCAACATGAGTATCTATGATAATCTTGGAAGGATCCAAAATAGTTCAGAATTTCAGTTGCCATCAACTACTTTTTCGAATTTGCCTGGTGCCTTGTTCAGCGTTGTCCCGGCGGAGGCAAAAGTTCTCTCGACGATTGAATTTTCTGGTTTTGCTGTTGGCAGGTGCTTTGCGGGATCCATATCAATCTTTATCCCTGATTCATTTACCCTTTACAACAAGTCGATTGCATTCTTACAAACTGCTTTCAACCTATCAAAAACGAATGTTGATAAGCGGATTCAACTCCAATTCAAGCCAGAATTGTATGTGCCATTCAAGGAATACTTGATTGCAAGAGGGAGATTGTATGATGTCATGACAGAGTATTGGAGCCTTGCAAATGAGCGAGTTGTTCAATTTCAGATGCGACTGGAAGAAACAATTATGAATCAATCTATTATTGTCGGTGAGTCAGGAGTTCAAAATATTACACTTCGTTATCCTCCATTCAGGTTCGTGTCCATGCAGATGTTGGGAGATCATGGGATCAACACCTTTCAATATGTGAATCTTTCAATCAAGTTTTCCTTTTCCAAGATCAATCTGCTCTCAAACACTCGATTCAATATAACTCTTCCAAACAGTCTTTTTCTCAGAGATGGCATACGGTCAATCACTATCAGTTTTTTGTGCGGCGGGAACGACTGTTTCATCTCACAAACACACGACATTTTGCTTCGTAACTTGTTCTATACAGCAAATAGCAATAATGTTATCCTTACATTTGTTCCTCTTATGCCTCTCTACAAACCTTCATATTACACATGCTTAAATGCAGGTCCAGATTTCGACGAGATTTCATTTGTGATTCCGAATATCTTGCTGTCATATTTCGAACGAGAGGTTGGCGTTGTCACATTAGAATTGCAACAGATGGAATCCCATAATATCAAAATTTTGAATCGCACATATTACAACATTAGTGAAATCATTGCGCCGTACATTGTGAAGTCAGCCATCTTGGAGTTTGTTCCTTCTGTGATCAATCAATCGTACATTCAAACTTCTTTGGAGGTAAGAAGACCGCTATCTGACAGGGATCGGATTCTTATTGAATTTCCGCTCACGTTTTCCACATGTCCACTGGGGGGATGCAATGTAAATCAACTGCGATCGATGAAATTGAATTCATACAGATCGATAAAAGTATCAACGTGGGTCAATGACTCCCAACAGATCTTGCATGTTCAGAATGTCTCATTTGAGAATGACCAAAAGAGCATTTCCTTCCTCATCGGACAAAATGTGTCTGTAGGGACGAATGTTTCTATCAGAATGGAGGGGTTCGCATTTCCTTATGTACCGGCTCCACAAATCCAGTTCTTGAATTTGACGATCTTTGAAGGTTCCTCCAGCAGAGTGATTGGGAGAATAGCATATACCCGTGCCCTTAGTACCATTCTACCAAACCCAGGTGCAGCAATGACATATTTGAGCTCAACCATAGCAGGTTCACAAAGTAATTTTTCAATACTGTTTTTGAATTCCTTTACTTATGGCATGTTTCAAACTATTAACATCACCACGATTTCGGATTTCAAGTTCGACTTTTCGAGGACAGACATCATTGTATTCATCGGGCAATCCAGAATTGATTCTCTCACTGTTTTTCGAGTGAACCGGGAGGCTCTGTATCTGACTTTCGATGTACAGATAAACACCTATGCGCTTGTCGAAGTGCTTCTCATTGGTGTGTACAACCCACCAACTTCTGGGCGCCTGAACAAACTTGCCTTCTCGGTAGCTGACCAAATGTTCTCGAACTACAGCACAAGTGTACTTGAGAATATATTGACGACTCCAGGGAATATTTTGGATCCCTCCATGAACCTGTCAAACCATTATCCTGGTCAAGTCGTTGAAATGATCTTGAAATTTACTGTTTCGAATTCGATCCCTCTACATGGACAACTGGATATTCAGCTGCAAGATATAAACATAAATGCAAATGCCTTGCAGCTTCGAGAAGCATTCTTTCAAGACGTGTTTGGGACAAGGCGTTTTTTCATTGGAAATCTTACACAGCTTGGACAGAATATTTCAATTACAATTACAAGTTTCCCTCAAAATGAGATCGGAACGAACCTTCCTCAAGGAATTCAATCATTCAGTGGAGCAGCCAATTCTCAAGTGATTCCTTCATTCAGCAACGTCACGCTCCGTCTTGACGGCTTGGAAACGTTGCCATACGTTTCTCGAGTCTTTTTTTCCATCCAAACAAAGCAGTACTTTGGTGATTACATTGACATAGTACATAATGTAGCAGGCTCTCAAATAGTGCCAGGAATTGTTGAAGGAAACTTCCAGCTTCAGATGCCATATGTTTCAATTTTCACTCCTTTTGCTCTACACCTATTTCCGTCGATCGATTTTGTTTGCGGCTACTCCATTACAATACAGTTTCCTCCCTCAATCCAAAACGTAATGTTTACTAACTACAGCAACATTCTTGGAATTATGTGCAATGTGACAGTAAATCAGTCAAATCCACAAACATTTTACATAAATTCGTACAGACGAATGGAATCGACTTACTCAAGCAATCAAACAATTTTATTCAAAAATTTGTCTTTAATCGGTTATCTCAAAACGCCAAATGTGTCTGGAACATACAACAACATCAACATTTCAGTGCTGAGTAGCAATGGAATCCCGATTGACTTAGGACAGGGCACATTAAGTGTAAACTATTCAAAATTTACTTCTGTTAGAATGTACGCAAGGTACGACTTTTATCGTGGAGGATTATCTGCAGATACCCTAGGATCAAACTTCCTGACGATTTCTATTCGACCATCGGTGCCCATTCTTGGCAAAGTTTTGCTGATCCTAGAGCTTCCGATTTGGCTGGCAGCATCCAATCCAAAGCTACTTCAATGCAACTTTGGTCGATGCATCCACTCTCTGACTCCACTGAACAGTACGACGAATTCATTGCCTTTCAACGCATCTCAGAGCTTCTTCCAACTCGTGGAATTGACTTATGATCCTAGAGTCAACATCAGCATAGGCTTCACCTTGAAGTCGTTCTTCATACCTTCCCGCTATGTTCTCCCTGAGCAGTTCTTTGAGATTGCCTTTGGAATAGCGGACCAAGAGTACAACCTGATACAAGTTGGCACAGCAAGGCTGAACTTGTCCCAATCAAGACTACAGAGGGTTCCGGTGCTGACGGCAGTTGATTACTTGCCACCCCAGCTTTGGAATAAGTCGACCTGCACGCTTCCGAATGCTGCTTTCTGGCTAAACAATTTCACTGTGAATGAATCTTCCTTCTTTCAAGTATTCTCGTTCATGACAAATCAAGAAATTCCAATTTACGGATTTGCTCGAATTGTGATCCCTTTGAATCAATTACGCTTGCTGAATCTATCAACCATTTCGTTCAATTCAACATCAATGGTAAATTACAGATCATGCTCGTATCCGCTTCGAACTAGATGTGAGGAAAATTTTGGAGAAGCGAATTACTCGTTCACAAATTACTCGCTCAACAAAGGACTTGAAATTTCCATCCAATTTTTTTCTGAGATTCCAAACGATTCAATTGTGGATATCTTCAATCTGAGCCAGCCATTTCCCTTCGTCAATCCAATATACTCTCAACTTTTCTCAGGAAATTTCTCTGTCTACACTGTCGACAACGTTTTTAATCTCATTGATACCAGTGAGAACTTTGTACCACAATATTGCCAATTCTCAAATCGTTACACACTCACCTTCACAGAAATTTTAAATGTTTACCTTTGGGATGAACGAGCAAGCTCTCAGCAGTATGATCAGCTCTATGTTCGCAATGGGTACCTAGGCGGAAAAGGAGGCTTCTATTTCAACCTATCTTTTCAAACTGGAATTCGAACCAATGAAAAAATTGTGATTTCCTTCCCAAGAGACTTCAAGATCAATCAGTCAAATCTCGCTTTCTTTGACAACTGCCTATTGACTTTACAAGGCAATTGTAAGACTCCTGATTTCAAGAAGAAGGTGCCACCACCGAATTGCACCAACACCTCCTACACTTGCTCCAACTGGATAGATGTATTCCCTTCTATTTGCAAGCAAAACTGTACGCAATACCAATCCATCGGGAATCGTTCATGCACTAACTTCACGTTGCAAAATGGAACAGTTGCAACCTTGTGTACCTCGATCGTCACGAATTACAGTTCATGTGCGATCCCGTACTTTTTTGTGAACGGATCTGTTTCAAAACTGTGTCACAACATCTCATTTTGTAAGAGTACTTCCTTTTGCTCCCAAGAGATAGTCACTACCAACGTGTCGATATGTACGAATTGGACGTACTCCAATTCCTCCAACGCTTCACAGGTGTGTAACAGCTGGTCGCAAGTGAATCGTTCGACAACTGTACAGCGTTGCACGTTGACGTTGAACACATCTTGCACTTGGTCTTCGAGGTGCTTCGACAACACAAGCAATACGACATGCCAGAACAAGTCTTTATGCACCCAATGGGATGAGACTAACATTACTTACCCTTGCCCTGAGAATTCTTCTCAGTGCCTTTATGGACCGCTTGAATCATTTAATTACACCTGGGGACTTGTCGAGATTCCACCCAGGAGCACAAACCCACCTGATCGGTACAATTATTCTCTGAGACAAGCCATTGTAATCACTTATTATGGTAACTTGACGCTCAAAGGTTTCTCGTTCAGTCTTGATGTTTCAAACCCGCTCTACGGATTAGGATATCCTCCAGATATACATGATCGATACTCATACTTGGTGGTGTTGAAAGGTTTTGATATTGCTGGAATGTATAGCTTTGGCGTTCAGGAGAGAATAGAGTTTCAAATTCTTGTTCTTCCTCAGTTGCTTAACGTTACAAGCTTGTCGCAGAATACAACAGCAGGGGCTCTTGCTGAGGTTAGGTTTTCTTTGAATGCCTTGGAATTCCTCTGGCCGAATTCACCACAATTAACCATGCTATTTCCAGCTGGAAGTTATAGTACTAGGTACAGACTAAACACCAATCCTGGAGCCGTGATGTACTTAGAGACGTTTGCAAGCTTTAGCCAAGCGATCAATTTATCCGTCCAAGTTTTCAATCCTTTTCCTCATCCCACAATTATCCAAAGTGGAGTATACACTAACCCGTCATTAACGAATTCCACTAGTCCTCAGCTGTGCGTCAATTTGAATTATTCGTGCTCGGACTGTTTGGCGCCAGCAAAGTCGTATTCGTATCAACAGCAATATCTGCTGATGGACCTGTCGCATGTTGTCAGCAATGCACAAATTAATACGACCCTGAATGCACTGACGGTCACAGTACATGATATTGGAAATCCACTGGAAGCAAATATTCTCCCTGGATATTTCGATTTTACTATATCGGGGGAGTTCTTTAATCAGAGGCAAATCATAGCTAGAGCCTTTGGTATTCCTGCAGAGCGAACGACTGTGGGAATTCTGACAGTGGATCAAGTTGATTTGATAGAGAATGTTGTGAATAGAGAAACCAGGGTGAATGTAACAATTTCTTTGTATGGTGTTCTGGCGAACGAAAGCTACCTTGAATTCAGATTAAGTCCACAATTTCCGTTGTACTTGCGCAATGGTACCTTCGTTACCTTTCTGTTCTTACAGTACGAGATACAGATTGTAAATTACAATCAAGACATACTGCAAATTTTCCTGTCTGATTCTCAGTTGACGGAGATGTACAAAGCCATGGAGTACAACGACGCCATTCAATCAAAGATCAGCGTATCCTTCTGTTGTTTGCAAAACCCTCCCCATTATGGATTTTACAATGTTATTCAAGAAATTAGAGCAATTTCAAACACATCGTATCTTGCAGAATTCCAAGGCAACTCTTCCGTGAAAAATAGATTATTAGAAGACTATCGTACGATGAATATTCAATTGTTGATCAATTTGGAAAACAAATCCTCGTTTGGCAAAGGTGGAATCTCCGTGACCATCAAATTCAATCAAACAATCTATGCAGATAGTATTGTCAGTGTTTCTTTTCCTGTGTCTCCATTCAGTCCCTATCAGCAATACTCCAATGTATTTTACGACGTCCAAACTTTGAGACAATTCTCCGTTTTTGCTCATCTCAATCAGTCGGTGGAGTCAACATGCCAGAAATACTTAGTTTCCAACTGCCTCGATCCGGTTGCTGCAAACATTAGCATCGTGGAAAGCAATGATCCAGGCACTCTGTCTTTTCGTTTTGGATCGGATGTCCATCCTTGCCAAGGAAATTGCTCTAATTCTAGTAGTGGCTTGATCGCAATGTCAATTGATGGCAAACTTCAGAATCCTCGACGTCCTGAGTCAAATTTCCGCTTGAATGCTTCATTATATTTGAAGAATCCATTCAAAGTACAGTTTCTCTCTCCTTTCAAGAATCTTATGGAAATTCATTTCCTCACTGGACCACTAACCATAGAAGCCTTTAAAGCACCTTTCACATCCCTTTACTCAAGCAGTCGATTGGCAGGATCGATCACATGGCTTGAGATTGAATACAGAACAATATCTGGCATGCAAGCTAACACCAAAGACTATATAGAAGTAACACTTCCGAAAGGGTACAAGGCATTGATGAGCACTACCGTTTTCAACTCGAATGCCGTTCAAAAATTTTATCCTGGCTCAATATCTTGTTTGAAGACTCCGATATACGCTGAATGTATCAGTTTTGATAATCGGAGCTTCGGATCGTTGAACATTAGTACCCAAGTCCTAGGTCACACTCGGGGAATTTATGGAACTTTGCAATTGACGAAAGCATCCAACAATTCCCTTATATTCGAGCGTTGCTCCAACAACTTTGATGTTCCCTTTAACACAACGATTCTGTTTCGATTTGGTCCAGTCGTGAATCCTTTGCCTGCAAGTATCAGCTATTCTGGGAAGACTGTTCCTGGAGGAAATTTTGCTATTCAACTCAAGGATCAAAATGATTTCCTGATCGAATACGCACAAATAGCCGCTCCCCCGATATATCCTGATATACTCCCTAACGTTAATCTGTCTGGAAAGGTTTTCAGACTCAACGGATCTCGATCGAGTTCGATAGCAAGCTTTGAGGTTTCTTTCTTGAGCACATTTGACCTGTTCGTCGATTATGAAATCCACGTGATGCTACCACAAGGATATTTTGTGGATGTCTTATCGTTCAACTACACTTTATATCAAATGTCTGATGTGATACAACAAGGTAACTTTGAATCTGTAAACTCGTCTGCTATTCCGCAACAGGATACTTTCTCCGTATTTCTCCGCATCAAGCTTAACAGCTCGGTCCTGTCGATCAGTCCATTGATGCTAGCCTTCAACGGCATTGGAATCTCAAGGGGTGGTACACAAGATAGGTTGCACAACTTTTACATTGCGACGACGACAAGCAATTGTCAAGAATTCGCAGCATTAGAATGCCCCTATGCTCTGCAGTCAAATTATGCCGTAAATTTGTTTCCGCAAACTCTTCCTGGTGAAATTTACAACCTCAATGTTTCGACGAACAGCAGTGCCGCAGGGAATGATGCATTACTGTCTATATCGTTGGAGACTTCAAACCCCTTCCCCGCTAGTGGTATTGTTGATGTTGAATTGCCACAGAAGTTTGAGATAAGTGGACCTCTTTCAATAAGCTTGCAGAATTTCACGTGCTACACTAGGTGCAATGCTTCCTCCTGCACTTCGTATATACCACCGGTGGAAATTTCAAACAAAGATTCGATCTCCTTTCAAGTACGATTCGGAAACATGGAAGTCTCTTACTGTAAAAGCGCAAGCCCCATATTTCCTTCTTCCCTACAGGTGTACTCAACCAAAGCATCATTGTACGACCCCAACAACGTTGGCATCTTCGTCTCGTTTTCCGTGTTTCCGGTAACTCTCAGGCGGTTCTCGGGCAAAGATGGAGCGTATTCATTGAAGGTAGAAGACACGCAAGGTTCAATCATAGACCAGGGCAGTATTCCTGCCAACTTCATTTATCCAAACACTCTCTTATTTGCCTCATCACAGAAACTAAATCAGGCTGCATTTGACTACGTCGGTATAATCTTCCGTTTCCAGGTTTTCAACCCCATACCAAGCGGTGGAATGTTCGCAATTCATTTTCCGATAGGATATCATATCCAGCAAGCTAGATTCCTTACAGGTTGGATTGGTTGGTCATTCGAGATTCCAAGCTCTGGTTTTCAACCATCGCAAATCATTTTAATCAGCAACAACTCAATGTTTATTGCTCCTCCTGCATCCGTGCAGAGTCAAATGTACATCAATATGATCATTGAAAATATAGCTGTGCAGTCGTACGCAAACGATGGATCTTTTGGCATTTCGACTTATTTATCTCAGAATGTGTCTCTTAATGAAAACGAAATTGACTTTGATTCACAAGTAAGGCTAACTGGGTCAGCACCATCCTTGTTGCAGAACGTTTCCATACTCATGAATGGGAAACAAACAGGATTTGAGATTCATTTTTCGAGTGTTGTTCCTATCCAGAATCTTTCAACAATAATGTTTTCAATTCCAACCAGTGCACCAGATCCATTTAATGTTACAAGTTTCCAACTTGATGATCAGAGCTTTTGCTCAGACAAAGGTGGTCAATGTCTGTACGTCAAGAAGTCGAACTTGACACCCTTGATCGTCTCAGCATTTCCTGATGTTGTCTGTCAGGGAACCCGAGAGTTGATAGTCCTGATTGGGACGAATTTTGATGGTGCAAATTCCGAGTCTCTCCACTTCTCGCTGGGTAAGTTTGATACCAGTCGTTCGAATAGCCCCTTGAGAATCCATTCAATCGTTTCTTCGGATATTCTTATTTTGCAATTGGATTGCACTGGATCGAATCAATCGTGTGTAAACTCAAATTCGTCATTCCAGACAGAGATGCTACGAGTCTCAACTGATGGAGGAAAACGTTTCTGCGAAAGTACTGTGATGATAACATTTGCATCGCCACATTTAAATTCCTCTGGATTAGAATGTAGCAAACCTATCATTTCACCCCTGACGCTGTCGAAGAACTATTTTGCTCTTAATTCAACAGAGGTCCTGGAAATGACAATTTTTTCTCGCAACATCAGTTTGGATGCATCGCGACTGAAGTGTGTCTTCTTTTCAAACTACTCTAGCGATACGTTTGTTGGTTTGAATCACGATCCTGCATTGCTCTTTAGGGTGAACGATTCAGGCTTTGATGCATTTCTTTACCAAATAAGTTGTGCTTTGCCAAGGGAAGCAAATGAGTATGCTATTGAGGTGGGCGTCTCCCTCAATTCATCACAGTTTCAACGATCTGGAAAGAAGCTTGCAATTTTTCTTTATGACAAAGTGGAGGAGGTGGTAACACGGCGTATTCAGTTACAAAATCAAGATTACATCTATTTCTTTTCACATCCTTGGCATCCTGGATCTGATGTGCCTCATTCTCATATAATTCAGGTAGGCACAGACCTTTATGTGATCTCTCGATCAGAGTCTACTACATACAACTGTACATTCAAGTACGGAAGCTATGATAAGCGATGTGTTGATACCAAAGCTCGGCATGAACACTTTTTCATTCTACCACAAGGTATATCTGACATCCCCAAAGTGAAGGTGCAAACACCGCCGTTGGGGTTTCCTGTTCCATCTTCCAACGTTTTCGGCTTTGGAGTATACGATCAAGTAGACCCTGGGTATTCAAGCAAACTGAAGAACATAAGCTTAGCGCATTGTTTGATTGAAAACTATGGAGGAAGTCGCATTGAAATTCGAGCGCCAGCAGCAATCCTGCCGAATCAACATGTCAAGATTTCTTTCGAAATATCTGGCATTTTCCCCTTTCCAAATGGCTCCTTTCAATTGGCTGTTTTGACCTCTAACCAAAGTTGTACAACTCCGTGGACATGTTCGATGATCGCAAGGTCGCTAAATGTTAGTGACGTCGTTCTTCAGCCTGATTACTTTCGGCAACCATCTGTGACATCGGAAAATTTCTCAATCGCTTTTAATGGGTCCTTGACATTCCGAATGATGACTGTGAAATCGATTCCTACATCAAGTGTGATTGGCGTTATTTTACCGAAAGATTTCAGACTTTCTTGGAAATCTGAGATATATTCTCAAATTTACACAAGACTGATCCTTGAGAATTCAACAAACAACACCAGTAATCTTTCATGTTCAAATTACAGTGACTTTGCACAAAATTTGTCCTGCAGCATGTCCACTAACTACTCTGCTAGCAATCAAACAAATGTTCAAAAAACTCAGGAATTGACGGTGAAAGTACCTTTCAATGGGACCTTCACACTGAAAACATTAGGATCTTTTCTGCCAACTCTTCAGATTTACCCCTTCTCAGCCCTGCCCTCGGCATTAGTTTTCGTGAATAGCACCATTCCGTCTGAGTCAGTGTTTGAGTTTGTTCTGACTGACGTGGAATTCCCTTGGTACACCTCGTTAGAAGCGTTGAATTCAAGCGTATTTGTAGCCCAAGCATATTTGAACAAGGCTTTCATAACTCAGTATTCTACCGGATTCCAGTTACAACCATTGAAACCAGGATTAATATCGCACATTAGGATTCAGTCAGAGTCGTTGTATGCAGCTAATTTGTTTGCTGTTAATGTTTCATTCCAAATATCAAACGAAATTCTCAACGGATCTTTCAGGGTACAATTCCCCTCCGACTTTCAAGTTCTTCAATACGAAAATGTTACCTTTTCAATTTATGTTCAGGACACAGATGTAACAAGTGTTTCGAGAGTATCTTTCTTTGATCGGAGATCACTTGATATCAAGTTTGGAATAAGAATAATTTCGAATTCGAATGTTCGTCTACATATGAGAAACATTCTTGCATCACAATTTGCAGGATCCATTCATGATCTTTATACTGTGAGTAGTTTGGCAGCCAATGGATATCTTGTAGATCGAGGTGAATATGTCTGTAAAGGTTGCCCATTGGTCGAGTGCTGTCTAAGACCAGGTGTTTTTACATCTGCTGCTTCTCCCAAGTCTGCTCTGACAACTGGTTCAAGAAATGTTATTCAGGTCCAGCTTTCAACAGCTTTCAAGTGGTCCAAGAATTCGACTCTGAAAATCTCTCTTCCGATCCACTATTACAGTTGTGACAATCTTACCCGTGGCGAGCTGCTAATTACTCGTCAAGATGGAACCAATCAGTTTTGCGCCATCTCAGTTACATCCGACTTAACAAAATCGTGTGCTCCAAATTACATTTCACCGAATTGTAGTCAATTACAACCATTCTGTTTACCCAATTACAATCATGATGTAGTACAGTCAGTCCAAGTCAAGCTGTTGGATTCTTGTATAAACTTATCCGATGTGAAGCAGTATACTTTTTCGTTGCAGGTCAGGGCTCCGAGCGCAATCTCAAGGTCCGACTTCTTTGTCTTTGAGTTTATTGATTCCCAATGTTGGTACAATGATACTTCATTGTGTATCAAAAGCGTAATTGATGCGAGAAACCAGTCGTCTCTGGTTGTGGAATATTCGAACTTGACATCTCCAAGTTTGGTCCTGTCCAACAATATAAGCAATTTCTCTTGTGACAGCTTGTCTGTACAGTTTCGACCGTATATTCCAGTGCCTGTGAAAGGATATATTTTCATCGACCTGCCGATAGTACTCACGGTAGACACAAGTCTGCAAAGCAATATCAATCTTTCTGTGGACAATAAATCGGTCGTTTACGACATGAACAGGAAAGGACAGTCAATTTCACTTCGTCTAATCGACACAGACATCTATCAAAACAGTCTAGTCTCGGTGACATTTCTGTGCATTCAAAATAGACTGAGTCAGCTCCGACAAGATGTACTTCAGACAAGAACTGCAGATGAAACATTGAATTTCTTCCAAAGAACATACTTGCCAGGTCCCTTGTTTTTCTCATTTGACACTCACTAACTTTGTTGCAGTGCTGTTGCAATCGCGGCTGTTAAATGGCGCTATACAAGTTCTTTCGATCTGCACTTGTTCAAATTATATGCTGTGCCAAGGATCCTGCATAACTTCTGAAGACCGGGTTCGCATAGCTGGTGTCCAAAGTTATCAGATCAACTTGACAGCACCTCAACAGTTGTTGAATGGCAAGAACTTTGTGAGTGTAGTACTTCCTGCAAGTTTCGACATCTCCAAGTTTTCATTCATCTCGATGGATGTATGGTGTTCTCTAATTCTCTTGTCTCCACCTCGTATTTCTTGCAGAATCCTTCGTTCAATACCTTCTTATAGCACTGTTTCCGTTCTACTTGGAAAC